CTACGTACAATGTAGCCATATAGGGGTCTATATAATATGCTCGAGCCTTTTGCCTTTTACCCTACTTTCTTCCTTTTTCTCTTACATATTGTGATCAAAGTTTTATGTTATAGCTTTTAAATGAAGATATATTATGAATTAGTTCATAATTTTCCCACTTAATAGGCAAAACATGGCTCCGTCTTCCTCCTACTCGAACCCACCGTGCGGCGCCTGCAAATTCCTGCGGCGCAAGTGCCTCCCGAGCTGCGTCTTCGCGCCCTACTTTCCCCCCGAGGACCCCACAAAGTTCATCAACGTCCACAGAATCTTCGGTGCCAGCAACGTCATCAAGCTGCTCAACGAGATCCCGCTACATCATCGCGATGATGCCGTCAACTCCCTCGCCTACGAAGCTGAGGCCCGACTCAAGGACCCCATATACGGCTGCGTGGGTGCCATCTCAGCCCTACAGCGCCAACTCATCGCCCTCCAGAGGGAGCTCGATGCTATAAATGCCGACATCATACGCTTCAGCAACAACGATGTTGTGGGCCCGTATGGTGCGTTCGGGCGGCGGGCGAATCCTGGGTCGGGTTATTATGACCCGTGTAATGGGTTCCTTTGGCCGTACACGAATTGGGGGTGGAATGCGATGGTTAATGACGGGTCGAACAAGGCATCCGACAACGACCGGGCAGGTGACAATGGCTGGAGCTAGGGTAAAGAAAAAAACACACAATTAACAATAATAGTAGCTCATTAAAGTTTGATGTTACTATCTATTTATGTTATTCTATTTATATATATAATATAATATAAACAATATGCTTTTTGTTGTGGCTTATAATGACATTGGGTGATCATATATATATGATCAATATTTGGCTTTTGGATTGGATAATTGGATGTGATATTGATTTATGCAGAAAGTTGTTTATTAGTCACTATCTGCTAAAAGATGCGCCTGATTCTGTTGAAATTTCATATGATTATTATTATTTACCTAAGATGAGATGATCACTTGGGTCTCTTCCAGCTTAACCAGTGGTCTCGTGTTCGAGTTCTGAGAATGCAGCAGTGTTAAAAACTCTTGAGGGAGAGCTTTGGCGCCCTTGTGGTCCTACCCGGCTCGATTCCGGATTAGTCGATTCCCCTGTGGATTTGGAAACCGGAAGGTCCTTGTACCAAAAAAAAAAAAAATTGTATATATATATTTTTTTTAAATTCAGTCATTTGAATAATATTGAGCTTGATTGAATACTAGTATTAGTTGGATCCCGACAAAGATGAGATGATTAGAAGTATTGTAGGTTATATATGGAACACAAATATAGCCAACACTTTCAACATCAAGTTATACCAACTCTTTTAATTTAATTATTAACAAAAACAAAAAAAAAAAACTTTTTAAAATTTAATAAAGCACTCTACGAGGTCTAACAAATGATGTATCATAGGTAAAATGAAATAGAATATATAATTAAATAAAAAAAAAAACCTAATTTGTCAAAGTAAACCGTTCAGAGCATCTCCTCAAAGCACAATACACTACAATCGATTTATTGTTAGTATTATCACTACTCAAAGTTTAGAAACGTGCTAAATTATAAAATAATTAAAAATATTAATAAAAAAATAAAGGGTATATTCGTTTTATTTTGAGTGCCATCTTAAGATTTTTTAACATTTGAGATTTTTTAAAAATTTTAAATTTAGAAGGAATCATTTGAAATCTTAAGTTTTCATGTGGAATTTGGAGCGAAATTTTATATATGATTTTTACTTTTGAAAGCCCATCAAATTTAAAAAAATTAAATCCTAGTCTTAATTAAGTCTAATAACTCATTATTTGTATAAGACTTTTCAAAATTTCAAATGAATATTTCAAATGACACCTCCCAATCGAAAATCGAATACTTGATTGTCAGAAAACTTGAATTGAAATTTTTCTATACACACGTGCTCCTACTATTTCCATCGATCAATTACGGAGGTATCAATTTTTAGAAATTGACAAACTATACTTCATTTTGCTCGTTTCGCCATAAGCTTTAAAAGTTCTAAATTAATTTTAAAGATCTATTTAAAATATATTGTTAATTGAGTTAAAAACGTTTTGTACCATATTAAAGTTTTCAATTGAGGAGGCAAATTATTAGTTCGATTACCATGAGAGACAAATTGTCAAGAAAATAGTTCATAAGACAAACTCTAAAATCGACATAATTTGGAAGGCTCATTTTTTTTTCCCCTAAATTTGTCCGGTTTTCTAGTATCAATCAGCCTCAGAGATTGGGCCCTCCCAACCGTCCAGGAATCCAAATCCGTACACGAGCTTACTCTTTGAAAGGTCCCCTTCATCTTCAGCTAAGCCCAAAAATAATTTTGTAGTGATTGATTGTATGGGCCAAAGGCCCGACAAGAATGTCACTTTCTTTTAACATTGTTACAATGAGGGTCTTATCACGCAGCAGCCCAAATATATTATTTTCAACCGTAGCCTATATGCAAACAAACCTTCTGGCCCACATCTAAATGTGTAAATGAGTCTAGCCGAGTTCAAGTTCATGCTACTCGAGCTCGAGTTTTTATTTTTTAAAACTGAGTTGAGTTCGAGTCATAACAATTTAAAATTAAAAAAAAAAAATCAATTTCAAGCTTTAACATTCAATAGATAAAAAAAAAA